AAAAACTTTTTAATTGCAAAACTTTCAGATTGGTCCCATTATTTTTTGGAAATTTTTGAGCCTGAAATGATTGTCAAATTTCTCAATAATCTTTCATTTTTCGTATATACCAGTTACGCTGTGATATTTGTACTATAATTATTATTGTGTTAGTGTATATTTGATTTTCACATAAAAATTGTTTGATTACGATAACGTTCTGCTGTTATCGTGAACTCTAATGTAAACAATTACTACATAGTATATTATATAATGAGTACTTATAGCTATATATACTACTTTTTCATGTTTGCCAATAAAATTTTCTTGATATTTTTTTATTTTCATGTTCGTCGATTATATTTTCTTGACTATATACCCTGAGCGTATGTGATCCATAATAGATCCGAAATTTAAAAAGTTTTTACGAGATTTAACTTCTTAAAATATGGGTATGATTTTTTGTATCAGTCTAGGTGTTTTTTATATGTACATACCCGAATATTATTCTTGCTCATTCCTCTTGTCATGAGTATGCATTTCAAATGAGCGGTAGAACAAAAAAAATAGTGACTTCAAAAGTGCTTAATTAAGTTTATTTGAATAAAGATTATTTCTATTTCTAAATACAAAAAGAATATCCAAGTATATCTATCAGTTGTCTAGTTGTGAACACATAACACAAACTCTGCATAGTCTGTGACTAGATGGCGCTGTGTAAATTGTCTTGGGATATTATTATTATTATTATATTTAATAGTAGCTGAAATAATGACTTTTGTAAATGAAGTTATAGAATAAAGTAAAGTTTACAATTTGACTGTATTTTCTATCTAATTAAAATAAACATCAGTTATTTAATTAAATATAAACAAATTCATCAGATGTCATATAAGATAGTAAAAATTAAAGTACGTCAAAGCTACGTAAAAATTGTGAAATTGAACCAACCATTGTGGAAGAAAGTAACATCTGTAACATAGGGATTCCCTAGCACAGATGTTACGGCCTATAAATTAGTGACATTGTGTAAAAATGAATAAATATATTATTATTATTATTATTATTATTATTATTTCTTAAACTTAAAAGATTCTCATCTCTCCTCTTAAGGAGGAGAGATGGCAACTTACCCCCGGCAGAAGCACAGTCATTATTATTATTATCCAAAAATTCTCATCTCCCCTCTTAAGGAGAGGAGATGGCAACATACCGCCGGCAGAAACACAGTCGGCCGGGGTTCAGGGCCCCAGGGAGAGACCGGCGTACAATGCGGGCAGAATCTAAGAGCACCGCTTTCTGCATCTTTCCCGGGAGTGAGCCGCCCCGGAATCCCAACCGTCTGAGATGTTATTCCAGACTGGTTGGGATAAGACCGTTCACCGACATAATGATTGGAATGATTTCGGTGGACATCACCCCCCACATTTCGGTCACCTCGTGAGCCAGGTGGAGATACTTTCTCTTTTTCTCAGTTTCGGCTTTCACGAGGTATGGTGATGTCCACTAAAAACACCCTTCCTTCAGAATGTGCTTTCGGATGAATTGTTCGTCTTAACCACCTGATCCTGTATTGCACAGACTTGAAAACCCTCGGTCTCTCCGAAAGAGATCACCGGGATGGCGACTGCCCGACAGATGTCCCAGTGCATGTGCTTTCGGTAATTGTTCGTCTTCGTGTTGATCCGTATGCCCCGGTCTCTCCGAAGAGAGAACTGGCAGTATTATTATTATTATTATTATAATTGTGTACCCATAACACAGACTCTACTTATCTTGGGACTAGATGGCGCTGTGTAAATTGTTGTGAGATATTATTATTACTATTACATTATAGTTAATATTCGCTTAATTATATTTTTTTTAACTGACATTAGTCTTATCATTAGTCAAGTTTTCAATTTGACTGTATTTTCTTTCTAAATAAAATTAACAAAAAATTAAATCGATTCGGAATAACGATTTCGAGTAGGTATATAAACGAGTCGATTAAAATGATTCGAAATCGTGACGATAACATCTATTGTGTGATCACATGATATCAATATTGCGTATTCGTAAAATATAAGGATAAAATGGACAACACTCAATTTTTTTTCAACTGGCGGTTTTACCCGATATAATTGAAGAATATAATCTCAATAGCGCCATAGTTTTTTTTATAACTGCTTGTATCCCACAGCATTGTCAGTAAAAGTATCAGACATGGAGAGGGGGGAAGGTCATTAGGAAGATTGTAGTAAGTGTTGTAGTAATGTAGACTGATTACTCCATAGGTAGCAATCTAGGTACAAGGCAAGTTGACCTCCACGCGGTTCCCTCTAGAAACCATCGTGACAAATTCCTGGTGAATTGGCTACGATGTGCTTACTGACCTGACTTCATGTTCATCTTATCATACTCCACTGGTGCCCCGCCAGCGTATACTGTACGCAGGCGGGTGCACGATTCTATTATCATACATTAAAAAAAAATGTATTTATAAAAAAGTATTAATAGGCTTAATAGAAAATTTGGGACACACACACAAACACGTGTGTATATATGTTTATATTATCTCATATCATCTCAATTTGATAGTAATGACTATCTTTAGTTTTATTGGAGTAAGATAAAAACTTTTTAGTTTAACATTATACTTGATATGTAAAGTACCCGTGTATTCTATTAAAGTATATAATATAATAATATAATAAATTTAGATATATAAATATAACAGTATACTTTAAAAAGTACTGTAATTACATACGTATATAGTAGAGTTTCCTTTGCTACCTTATATTTCAATGAAGACGTTATTAGATTTCAATTAATAACACGAATTTATCATTTTTAATAATAAAAATACAACTATTATATAATTACAGTGTATTAAATTAATATGTTGTTTATTTATATGCTGCTTGTTAAAATGGCAATAGGTGTGGTGTTTTAAGTGTAAAAAAAATTGATAAAATCGTTATCATAGTAATCGTTTACAAAAATGTCAAGATAGTGATTTATATAATTATTTTTAGTGTTCATAATAATTTAAGTGTTTGCCATAGATCGTGCAATTATGGTCCCGCAAAATGTGTCTATGGATATTGTGAATACTGCACTATTGTGATGTTCAAATGAATTCCAAATATGAATTTGAATGTATTGAAAATTATTAATCCGGTTAGTTTTCATTTTACTTTTTAAACACCCACCAAAAGGGGTTACAGTATTTTTGCCATGACTAACTCTAAGATTTTTTTTATCTTTATTGATTTTTTTTTATTTTTCATATTTAATACACTATTTATATTGTTAACTGGGTCTAGTTACACGGCTAGTCGAAACTTCGAGAGAGGGAAATATCTTTATTTGCCACAAAATTATTCATGTTATAAATTAGTGTTAGTTGGTAGTTTATATTCACATATTTCAACTTAAATATGTAAGGTTACAACAATCTTTTAACTCTTTTAAAACACGCAAGTTCTTGCTCTTTCTTCAGTTCAGTTCAGATTTCCAAATGAGCGAAATGAGATCAAAAAAAACAACTGTGAATATTTAAGTGCTTAAATTTAAGGTTGAATGCTTTCTATTGTGGTGCAATTCGCTATAGTTACTGGAATTTTTATTTATTTACTAGCTGTACTTGCGACTTCGTCCGCATGGAATTTAACAAAAAAAGTTAATTAGAGAATTTTCTAAAATAAAAGTAGCCTAAATTACTCCTTATTACATTAGCTAAATAAAGTCCCGTCATAATCGGTTGAAGTATTTCAGAGATTAGTCGGAACAAACAGACAGACAGACAAAAATTGTAAAAAATGTTATTTTTGTGTATGTACCATATTTATATTCATATGCACGTAGTAAAAAACGGTTATATCAATATTACAAACAGACACACCAATTTTAATTATATGTATAGATGTATATAGATTTACATTTACATATTTACTACAATAAATATATACAATATCATAGTTGTTTATTAACTCATTGTTGTACCAGATCTGTGTCGGAAACATAAATTATAGAGTAATGAGGCAGAAAAGGCGCTCTTATCGCAAAGCAATCTCTTACGGCAAACATATGTGTAATTATTTTGGTTTATTCCACTATCGTAGTACAAATAAAACTACTACCTAACGTGCTCTGGCTTCCTGTAAAATTTTTGATATACATAGTTAAAAAAATTCTAGAACAAATCAGTCACACACATATACTCTACTTTGTTGCCTATATGATATCTATATATGGTATTTCCCTAAAATATGGTCGAGCGCAGTGTTGGCTGGCTCATCCGTCATACTCGTGAACGAGTGCTGCTAAAGAGAGCAGAGCAGACCAGTCCCTACAGGACTGGTCTGCTCTTATCACTACGACTGATTTAATCTTATTGTGTTTTTATATTTGAGCCTAAATGAATTAGTGCTGGTTGGTAGTTTGTATTCACACGTTTCGACTTGTAAAATGTGAACATACAAGGATTGTTTAAAAGAGCAACATACAAGTTTTCTTGCTTATTCTTCTTGTGATGGGACAGCTTTCCGAATAAGCGGTAGATTTAAAAAAAAATTTGTCTATTCAAAAGTGCTTAAATTAAGTTTATTTGAATAAAAGATTTTCTAATCTATTCTATTCTAAATTTCTTTTATCCTAGTCTAAATTCTAAACTCTGATTACCGAGTATAGACACAAAATATTGTAACACAGATTTTCCTAGTACGGGTTCCGTTCCAATCGCTTATATTATAAAGTTCACAAGTTGCTTACTGTTAAGAAAATTGTGAAAACTAATAAAATATAATGAAATAAATAAAAAAATATTATTATTATTATTGCCTTATCTCTCTCTCTTATCTCTCTTTATCCTATTAATTGGGGTCGACGCAGTATGTCCAGTAATTAATACTTGTATTAAAAAGCAGCTATTGCTAGCAATAAACTTATTAGTCCACATTCTAACAATCCCCATCCCCCTGAACTACTATGAAATACTAGTACTTCCTGTGGAAATATATGCATATATAATGTTTCAGATCCCTGAACACCATCAGAGCACAGCGTCAGGGTTCAGCGATGGTGACCACGCCACAGATGAAAATAATGACGACGAAGATAGAGCCAAGTAAGTAGCAATTTCATTCTCTCGGTAGTCTAGCGGTTTAGGACACAAGCGATGCTAAACGGCTTTGATAAAGAAACGTTTTTTTCATTAATATTTGAGGTTTCAAGAGACTATACCTAATAAACCCCACTACTTATACTTAGACTATACCTAATAACCTTACTACTTAATAAACCCCACGCTATATTCTCAAGAGACTATAGCGTGGGGTTTATTAAGAAGTAAGGTTATTAGATATAGTCTAAGTATAAGTAGTGGGGTTTATTCTCAACCATTCCCACGCTATATTCTCAAGAGACTATAGCGTGGGGTTTATTAAGAAGGGTGTATTAAGGTTTCTTTAGAGTCGTCCACCCGCACGTGATACTTCTGGTGTTAAGGCGTCTATAGGCTACGGTTACCGTTTACCATCAGAATAGAATAGAATAGAATAGAAAATAATTTATTCAAATAATAAATAATAATAAATTTATTTAAGCACTTTTGAATAGTCAACATTTTTTTAAATCTACCGCTTATTCGGAAAGCTGTCTCATCACAAGAAGAATAAGCAAGAAACTTGTGTGTTGCTCTTTTAAACAATCCTTGTAAGTTCACATTTTACAAGTCGAAACGTGTGAATACAAACTACCAACCAGCACTAATTTATTTAACACAATAAGATTAAATCAATCGTAGTGATAAGAGCAGACCAGTCCCTACAAGCAGCACTCGTTCACGAGTATGACGGATGAGCCAGCCATCTCTGCGCTGGCTCATCCGTCATACGGGATGGGCCTTATCCTTGTTTGCCACCATCGTAGTTTTAAAAACCCGGCTTTAATTGTTGCTGTTAATAAACAATATTCTAGTACGTCAAAACTCTATGAAAATGCGTTACAACGTTCCCAGCATACTCTGAAATATTACGCGTTTTATTTTTCAAAATTGTCTAAAATAATCTCGGGAAAATAACCACAAATGTAGACGAAGCATTGTCGCCTAACTGCTAATATCAAGTCAAATTGCCATATCCGGAAATCTTCTCATATTAACAGTTTACCAAAGGAAAGGAAGTGCTCGTATCTCGGCGATTGTCCAAGGGTCCGCCGGGACGTGGGTTGCATGTGGGGCTACCAATTGTCGTCATTTCATCGGGACGTCCCAATTTTAGAACCTGATGTTGTGGCGTGACTTATTTATATATATACATATATAAATAGAAACAAAAATACGTTTGTGTGATACACATAAAATATACAACAAAAATATTTTTAATTACAATTTCAATCATTATGGTAACAAATAGGTAATAATTTCTTAAATGTAGAAAATTACCTTTGGAGTTTTATTTACATAATATTAAGTAGTATAAAAAAATGTGTCGCCCAAGTAGTCGCTCAGTGATCATAATTAATTTAAATTAAAAATTTCAACATTATGAAAGTTCTATTGTCAAAAATAATTTCTCAATATGAACACAGACTATGACAATAAACAAAAGAGTATATTAGAATGTGTGTCAAATACATTTTTATGCATAATCTAAACAAATATTAGCAGTCTGCACTCCCTCTCTCTACAAACTATAAAACTCTATATAATTTAAAAGGACGGAAGACCTTCCACGCAGTTCTTTTAGAAAGTGGTACAAAGTTTCTGCTTCACGTATTATTACTAATGTAAGCCGTGCTTCGGTTGTAGGATGCATTAGGTTAGTATTCACTACCATTACAGGATAAGAGGCATGACATCCTTGTCCTTAAGAATAGCAATGAATGAATAAGTAAAAATCGAGTTCAACATGAAACAAACAAAATATTTTACAGTATATAGTTATTAAATCCCGAAAATTCCATAATAAGAGTTGGCCAACCTAGCTATATATACATCTCAAGGCATTAATAAGGAAGTGCGTCCGTGCGTTGACCTGCTGCATTGCGAAATCAAATGTAGAAATTGCACAACGCAATCTTGACCTGATAAAACTCGGTTACAGTTTAGAACGGGTCCAGATTGTTAACTGCAATTTTATATATCTTCACACTAGTTCCTTTATGGAGTAGCCAGAAAGAATCGTGTTTTATTAATATCTGTCACATTTTTATATTCCTAAGTCATAATTTATCCGACTCCTAATTAATAGTGTTTTAATTTATTATAATTTTACGAAGATGCATATCATTTGGAATGCAACTATATTTAGTAAAATGTGGGTATGTTATGTTTTTTAAGCATGTATGTCTATATGCTGAACTCCTTTGACAACCCCATTTAGAATAACTGTCAGTAATGTATTGTTGAAGACAGTTTATATACTATATATATTATACATTTATCAAATTAGGTGTAATTTACAGAAGTCAATTTCATTACTTACTGGATTTATACTATTTTGTTTAATTCCGCTGCAATTAGCATGCGTGGGACTACAAATATTCAGTGCAGCAACCTGACCACAGCTACTGGAAGCGTTACCTTCTCCATCGGTGATCAAATTCCGACTGTTAGAGAGTCTACAACCATATTGCGACACGTGTTTCACCTCTGAACGAGGCATCATCACACATTCCACCCGCCAGAAGCTAAAATACCATCCTGATCATCTGGATGAATGGCGGTCCTCCACAGTGCAGTTTTATAGAAACTTTTTACCACGCACAACCACATTGTGTAATCGCCTTCCAGCAATGGTATTTCCGAACCAATACGATATTCCTTATTAAAAGGACGACAACGTACTTGCAATTCCCCTGGTGTTGCAAGTGCTCATAGGCGGCGGTAATCATTTACCATCAGGTGAGCCGCATGCTCGTTTGTCCCATGTGTTATAAAAAAAATTAATGGAGATCGGATATAGCTTGGAAGGTTATAACTAAAATAATATAAATCCATTTACTAACTAATTTAATAATGTAAGTCTCTCTAAATTCATAATGTTAATTTCTTACCACACCGATATTGTGCATAATGTTTAACTGGGTCTGCGTAGAGTGTGATACGTAGATAATGTTCCTGTGATTTTCGTTACACAATAGAGTCGCGAGAGGAAATTGCTAAATCACATTTGATAGGCGCTCAATTTGACTGAGATTAATGCACCGACTTGTTGTTAGGGACCGTTATATATATATTGTCGCTACTAGAATGTCATTCCATCGCTATACTTAGTTGAATTTGAAAATCTTTAGCTTGATTTTATCACAAGCTCGATAAGGGATGTATGTAGAGATATGTTTTATGAGAAATAAACACAATATTGTTTAATTGAAGACGCACATAAATGGGAATGTTTGTATTTCACGAGAACTGAACCTGCGACCATAGCAAACACAGTCCTGGCATGCATGCAGGCATATTAATCCGACAAATCAGCTAATTGGTCCATTGTAATCTAAATATATATAACTCAAAGGTGACTGACATAGTGATCTATCAACGCACAGCCCAAACCACTGGACGGATCGGACTGAAATTTGGCATGCAGGTAGATGTTATGACGTAGGAATCCGCAAAGAAAAGCTTTTGATTAATTCTACTCCCAAGGAGATAAAATAGGTGATGAAAGTTTGTATGAAAGTACTGTAAAGCCGCAAAAACTATACCTCTTAACGCGAGCGAAGCCGCGGGCAAAAGCTAGTAAATACATATAAATATAATAGATACATATATTAGACTAGCTATGCCAGCGGTTTCACCTGTATGAAATTAATAACCTATGTGTTATTCTAATGTAGGCTACTGTAAAGTTTCATCAAATTTCGTTTAGTAGTTTTTGCGTGAAAGAGTAACAAACATCCATCGATACAGTACAAACGTTTGCGGTTATAATATTAATAAGATTTACATTACATAATTAAAATAAATTTAACAGAATCAGCGTAATTGAGGAACAAACTCCTCTGAACCGTTAACATATTACAAAAGCATTTTTGCTTACGTTGCATCCTAGTTTTGAAACACGCTACTGAAGGCAGAAGGCAGTATAAATCAAGTTATATATTACATATGCGTGCACAATACATATAGGTGTGCATGTGTTGGGGAGTATTACGGAATCCTCAGTTAATTTATGTATTAAACCTTCAATGCACAAATACATAAATAAAAGATTCAGATGGCGTACTTAACATCTTTAGGCATTATCTCCCGGTCAACCATCAACATTGGAGCAAAGAAAAATTCATGTGGGCAGTGCATTGTCATAATTAAATATTAATAATTTCTTTTATATAGTTAACTTTGGTGATTGAAATAAAATTAAGTACTTAACTCTGAACTGAAACTAACTTGCTTCCGTATATTGTAAAAAGATCTATTACAATGAAAATAAAAGAATAACAGTGGCACAAATATTCAAAAACATATGGCTATATAAATATAAAAACAAAGAGGTTCAGTATTCAACAATATGCGTGAATTCTGGACATACTAATATATATATATATATATATATATATAAACACCTCTTTGGGCACTTTGTTGATCACGCCACAACCTAAACACTTGCCGATTCCACCTTTTGCACTGATTAACTTGACTCCTATCGCGTATATCTCAGGCGGTATGGCAACGTCGCATTCTATTTTGCGATGTGGCCATATATATTCGTCGATAGTACGATATACTCGACACATTTTTTACTAATAATTCGTGCATGACTGGCTCCGAACGGCTAAATTTTTGGTATACACAAAGACTTTTTGGCTCTGAATATATTTCAAAAATCAATTAATTATGTTGATCACTTTATATACTCGTCCTTACTGCGATACTTATTTTCATCCGAATATATATAGATACCGTAACGGTCTATCAATTATGAATTTATTAATTTACTAATGTAGATATTTTATATTCGCAATGCTCCATACATAGTAACTCCACCGTTGCAGGGGGGAGCACCGTACACCGCACCCCGCGCACACAAACAAATTAGATATTTTTTGAATACACAAAGACTTTTTGGCTCTGTATATATATTTCAAAAATCAATTAATTGTGTTGATCACTTTATATAC